TATATATGCAAATATATACGTTGCAAACACAGTCAAAGTTAATTAGAAATTACTCCAAGATGGTTGACTCGTATTTATTTGTGTGAATTACACATATTAAATTTATATTAAGGTGGCGCATACACGATTGCGGCTTTTCTATCAAATTTTCTTTGTAAGTAACTTGAAATTAGTGTATTTTAAAAATACAATTTTAAACTTCGAATTCATTTTTGAAGAACATATTTTTAACAAAGAATCGAGTGTAAAAATGTTTTAACTTTTACGTGCGTAAAATAAAAACATTTTTATATTCAACTAACGTCAGTTGAATATTAAAGTTAGCATTAGACTATTTTTCTGTTATCATTGGATTTATTATATTTTTTTTTATGAATCAAATAGGAAGGACTTTTTTCTTTTATATTAATATATTTTTTTCCATTTATTAAGTTATTTAATAGCTAAATTGTAAGTTATTTTTAATACTAATTCTAAATTAATGCATAAAGTATTCTACCATTGCAGGTCACTTACATACACAAGTAATAAAACAATTTGATATGAACTAGAATTATAATAAACGCGAGTTTGAGTTATTTTATAATAATTCAACTATAATTCTTGACGATTATACTCATATAATGTGTGAAAAAAGTTAATTGCTACTAGTAAATATAAAAAAACCTTACTACCATAAATCGTATTAAACGCCATTTGACTCTAAGCGTATTACGAGTTTGAATATCAAATAAAAACTAAGTTCTACCATGAAAAAAGTAATTATTTGAAATAATTAAATGTTTTAATTGTCGCCCAATCAATGGCCGATTTTGAAGAAAGACAAATTATCGTTCCTAATACCTATCAATTTTTACGGTTTACCCTTTATCAAAAAATAATGGATATTAAAAATTCAACGAAAAAATGATCTGAACCTAAATTTTAAGTGTAAAATCAATTTTCGCCAATAAAATAATTAACTAAATCGGAAATTTAATGAGTGACAACTTCACGAGAAGAGTTTAAGAGGATTATGATACCTGAAAACAATCCAATGTTAACAAACTACACACTAATTAAAATGGCAAAAATTATCTACGTTTTATATCTTCGCTTCTAATCTTCAGTTATAAAAAATCAAACAATAAAATAACAGCTATTGTTCCCGTAACTAGTCATTTACATGTGTTTGGCGATGATGTTGTTGTTAACTGATGTCTAGTTATAGTAAACTGTCTATTTTACGTGTGTGCGACTGAGCCATAAAAACGGCACTTGCTCGAATTGTAATAATAACAATAATAATAATGTACAACATAGTGCACGAAGTGTTGAAAAATTTTTGTTGGGTAGTTTTTTTTTTTTCATTTCTCCTTGTCACCCCTTCGTGGTTCACAGTGGCCTATTACAGAGTTTCAGTGCCGAGTCCGTTTCGTGTGTGAGCGGAATTTGATGATTGCCGCGCTTGGAGCCGTTACGGTCGGAGAGGAGAAGATGCGCCGGATTAATTGGAGGGCCACCGAAATGGGCCGCTAGGGAGCCATTGGTCGCAGTCTATGAATCCGGAAACACAGCAACGAGCTCATCGCAACAGACATTCAGCAGCCCACGAGGAAGGGTCGGGACAGGGGAAACCATTGGAGTTTATATATATATATATTCATATCCCTTCCAACAGTGCCGATTTATTCGCAGTTAATTCGCTGTTAACGCCATAACACCAGCAACAATGACGACGTGCCGAATCCAAACGTTGAAAAACCCATTTACACATTCTGTTCTCTCAAGTTATTGTTTGATTCAAATAATTTTAATGATATTCATTTCAACGTTTTATGGAAAAAAAAAACGTTTTTTTTAAATATACACAATACGTAGTTTGAAAAAAATAATTTATTGAATAAAATAATGGATAGATCAACACACAATTTATACTTTTGTAATTAGCTAAAAATATTATTAAGAATAGTTGAACTCTAAAAAAGCTTTTTACGACTCGTGGTAAAATTAATATAAATTTAAATGACTTAATGCATTTTAATTTTGCTAAAAGGAATAAAATCAAGACTATTTAAAAATTTCTAATTGCTTCTCCGTGTATGTATTTTAAATAGAAACTTTAAAATGCTATAATAATGAAGTGAGCGTCGAGTAATCAATCTCGGCGGTCTTTGGTAATTACATTTTTATAAACCATTAATATATAATTATCTACTACTTAGTTTAAAAGCCCACAGTAGCTACTATAAAAACTCAGAAAAATTTATTTTAAATTGTCGTTTTATGACATCGAAGAGAATTAAATATTCGGTTTCGACTATCGACCGACTTCTAAGACTAAATCGCCGATTTTATTGCGTTGCTTGATTATTCGAATGTGATAACACTTACCGGGCCTTGTGCGTATCTACTATTATTTATTTCAATGTATTAGTCAATATCTAAGGAGCCTAAACTGTGGGCAACAAACAAACAAACAGTATAAAACATTTTTACCGCATAATTCCGTTTTAATATCCTAGACTTTGTAATACTATTGCTTTTATACGGAAAAGGCATCATAATGATTTTAAATTTTAATGATTATTTCAAAGAGGTGTTCATAAGTACTTTTAAATATATGATAAAAAAATAATATTATGCAAAAATTTCTAATTTAATTACGTACAAATGAAGATGTAATTATCCAATAAAAATTGATTTCGTTAAGAGAAAAAAAAATTACCGTGTCTGTATTTGATACGCTTGAATGGACTAACTTATAAAAAATATTTTCAAGTACACATGCGTATGTGTACACTGACAAAATTTAAAAAAATATTCACTTAGTAGGACGATTGACGTGTTATTGAAAAATAGCTCTCATAAATATACAAATTAATTAAAAAGTGATATCAATTTGTATAAATTGCTAAATTGAAATTTTCCAGCCATTCACAAACAATTGCACTATCGACATACCTAGAGATGTATTCAAACATTTTATGCCCTTGGCTAATGATGTAGCCAAGAGGGGAGCTAAAGGGGCTACAATCCCTCCATTGACCAATTATAACTATTAACAGTATACGTCTTTAGTGCTAGAAAGAGTTGCGATAAGTAAAATAAAAATATCTTTACTCCCACCCTAAAGAAATCCTAACTATGCCACTACCCTACGTTTTGAACAACCCCCCCAATAATCAATATTTTCTCAGTAATATATTTTATGGTAAGCTAATGCATTTTTTGCTACTTTTAGGATCTAAAAGCATATACAGTATATTGAATAGGAATTCAAGAAATATTTTTTTATTTTATAAATTAACACATTAATTTATAAGATAAAATTATTTGTCAGAAACGCCCCCAACCAAATTCCATGCCCAGGATACATTGGGCCTGTGCCTCATTTTAAATATGTCTCTAAACGTACTAGTGATGATAACCGAAATTGTGTCAAAATTTTCCCTGTATTGAATTTGGTTAATGTATTTAACTGGCAAGAGTTTGGCTTGTGTACGAGCCTATGAATATGGCGGACAAAGAAATGAACCGCGTAGTTCAAACAAGTCGGTCTCTTTTGACGTATCGTCCAGAACCTTTTTCTTCGTGTCTTTTCCTCCCAATGATTTACGAGTGTTGCATAACATCGTCATCGCGCACGCACACGAGCCATTTTTTCGTTTTTTTCTTTTACCCAACTATTGTCCTGCCGTTTAGTCCTAAAATACCGCGAAAAGGACTGAGGCGGTGTCGCTTTCTCTCCTCAGCAGGTCAGTGCGATCGTCAGGTAATGATATGCCAGTGTATTAATCTACCAGACATCATAATATAATTGCTCTCAACACTTTAATAAAACTAAAAATAAAGTGTTGGATCTCTTTTTTTGCACCATTACTAAGGGAGACTCTTCACGACGGAAATACCTTTTATTTTTTTCACTATAGTTAAGTCCTAATAAAACCCACAATATCTATTTTGACTTTTGTTAAATGAAAATGAACTCAGACTACCAGTCGTGCAACAAAGGGGTCAATCAAGTTTTAGTAATAGTGTTGTATTGTGTAAAAGAGTTATTCAAACTAAATATGTCACTTCTATTGTCAAATGTGGATATTAAAATGTTTGTATCAAACAATTAATTTATTAATATTTACAAAAAGTATCTCCTAAAATAGACAATTATAGTTGTCAACTATACAGTAAAATATAGTAAAATGGTAGATATAACTACCAATTTTTTATGAGCATTTATATTTGTGGTTCAAATTCACCGGATTGAATCACCACTAATATTAAAAAAAACTCATTAAGGACAAATGTACTGAAATTTAACAAAAAAAAAATGACTATACATGAAAGAATCAATTTTTATAAATGTTTCAGTAACGACTTAATTCAGAGACAGCAAATATTTTTAATTTATTTGTGTGCTTAATAAAAAATACAAAAGTTTTAATAGAATTTTAATACTGTAAAAAAAACAAAGTAATAAATTTCATTATATTTTAAATAAATAGAACGATTCTGATGAACCTCATGTATAAAAATCACCCAACAATACATCTATTCATTAAATTTTAAGTTTCCAGGCTTATCTATTTAATAAAATGTATAGTTTCTAGTTATTAGTATTGTAATTAAATTAAAGTGTGAAAATTGCGAGTTTTTCCAATTTATATATTTTTATATAACTAAATCGGTTGAATTCAAAATAATGGAGAAGCAAATAACATAATGTTGACAACGAACACGGCAATATTCAAGTAATTGAAGTGTTCTGTGTAAAAACAAGATAACTGCGTTTTTATTTTCAAAATCACTTTTCAAAGGCTCTAAATTAAGATTAAAACGACAAATATATCTAAGAAAAAAATAGTAGCAATAAATAATAAGAAAGACATCGTGTTTTTTAAATTTACTGGTATGTAAGGATACACGATAAAATTTTCTAGTTTTTTCAGCCCCCTAAAAAGTGTTGAAAAATGAAGTTATCTTATTTTTGCATAGAGCCTTTCAATTATAATCACTAAAATTTGACCTTATTTCTATAATAATTTATGACTGTTACCTGGTTGAGGACGGTCTTGATATTCTATTCTTTTCATCCACCCATATGGACTAACACGTCCAGTGGGACCTGGAGGAGAAGGTTGATGTTGTATTGGTGGCCAATACTTGTAATCATTTGCTGGTTGGTAAGCGGTTGTCGGTTCGTCCAAAGATGTGCCAGGAGATGAACACGTAGCTGTTGTAGCTGATTGGTTATACGGTGCCACGGGAGTCGTAACCACAGTCTGTTGATGATGAGACTGATGGTGATGATGATGGTAAACGACATCTTCGTAAGACGGTCGTCGCCTATTATAGACCGGCCATGCATAACTATCTACCGGTTGATGATGGTGAAGTGTTGCGTTTACAACGGCATCTTGACTGTGTTGATGTTGATGATGGTGATGCAACTGAACGGGTTGTTGTTGCGGTTGTTGCTGAAGGTGATGGTGACTATGGTGGTGATGATGATGATAACCAGCCACAGCAGCGGTCGCGGTAGCCGACTGGCCGTAAGGTGTCCAAGTAGCTCCGGACACAGTTACAACGGGCTGTTGGGCTTCGGTGCCATCTTCGGCGGGCGTACATTGCGGCACACTACTGTAATGGTATACCGGAGCCTGTAGCTGTCTGCAGATAGTCACAGATTCGTTCATTTCGACTGTGTGTGGCTGATCATACCATTGAAGTAGTTAAAAATATACAAATTGACACTGAATGATTTTTTTACTACACGGGACGCACAAAAAATTGTCTCGCTCAAAATTCGAAAAAGTACAAACAATCTTAGTGATGTTATTAAACTTTGTTCGAACAAACGCAACTTCTCTTCATTTATATTAAAAAATCATAATCGAACTCAACAAATAGACGACACAACTTTGAACCGCAGCAATTAACAAATAAATTCAATTAAGAACGTATTACGTTAAGCGTGATGATCGATAAGAAGGACTGATGCGAACGTCGTGAGCACGTTACGTGCCAAGATATCTTTTAGGTTGTGTGGGATTCGTGCCTCTAAACTGGGACCGACAAAACAGGCGGATTAGAGCCCCTCCCGTCGAACGGCTCCTCGGCCAATTGCAGCTCGGGTCTGTTGTGGGTAGTGGTCGGAACGTTGGTGGCCACTCCACATCGAGGCGGCGGCTGCCGTCTTTATTGTCCTACTATTATTACTATTAGTAATATTATTTTGCGGCCGCCGCGGTAAACGACGATCACACTTCGTGTTTATACCTCCCAGTCCCTTTTCATCAAAAATACTGCCGCCGCTGTTTAACCCATTCGACGTGCAGGTNCCTTTTCATCAAAAATACTGCCGCCGCTGTTTAACCCATTCGACGTGCAGGTAACGCACAAACGGATGTATTTTTTTCCACAATTTCCCCATACGCTAACAGCAATATACCTGCGTAATATTTTTTACAAGCCGTGAAGTACACTTTACCATTTTAATTGCATAATTTTCTATGAATTCAGACGCAAATTAATTACTTGCACGTTAACATTAAATAAAATAGTCATCTCGCATACGCTAATATCGTATAATTGTGCCGTTTTCGATTATGGAACTTCGTGACTAGAGGTGAATTTTTATAGTACTTTTTTTAACGAATCACGAATGCGGTGGTTCATATCCGAGTATAATATCAAAACGCATTCTACTTAACTCTGAAATTATTCGTTAGTTAGTATTATTAAAGTCTTAAACTAAAAGTAGAGAGTATTAAGTAATATACAAATAACCTCAGTTCACATATACTAACTTGGTCAAGTTTATAAATGTTTGAAAAAAATTCATGTATTCAACATTTATTGTTATTAATAATTTGATTTGA